TGTATACGCACCATTTTCGTCGTGGTGGAGAGAGAGGTAGTGTGGTGGTGGTGATGGTTGAAACTGTTCAATGGAAGGAAAAAGTAATGTGTGTGCCTCTGAAAATTCCTCTGTTCCTATCGTTTTCTTCTTCTTCTTCTTCGTGTTCTTCGAATAGGGCTATACTTCTAATAATAATGATGATAATATCGTTGTCGTTTGGTTTCCTAATTTCTTTGTATGTACACAATAGCGTCAGTCGTCGTTCTATTGTTCTAGCTAAAAATTTTTGGTGTTAGTTATTTAGTCATTTTGTTTTTTCCAGTGTTCTGGTGCTGTTAGTTGTTGTTAAGTAGAATTAAGCACACCTGTTTTATGCATTATGACGACAGTATAATAATTTCACGTCGTTTTCGGTTCTTTCTTTTGTTTTATGTAGATTTTTTTTGTTTTTCTTTGTGATTATTGTAACGGTAATACTTTAGAGGCTGAATTCTGAGAAGAATGTGTCTGTCAATCATGTATTATGTATTTGATTAGTCGTCCGTCTAATATTTCTAGTCATGGAGGATTACTACAATATTAAGTTATTTAAGACATTTCCTGCTTCAATTCGTCAACCATATGCTTCTCCCAAGTTAAACTCCTTTAATACACTTTTGCCTGTTGTGTTTAGCATTCTCTACAGTCAATCAATTAGGTGGTGAAGCTATATCGATTGAGATGGCTACGACATGTGTCACACATACCGAGTTACCGCCTTTTTTACACCAGCAACTTTAGCTGACATAAGTTTAGATTAGGAAAGAGTTACGGGGTGATCAAATCAGTACCTGACATCAATCTAGCTCTCTAACGACTTGCCCTATTCAGGTTGGTAGTTACCTGGGGTTTAAGTAAGAAGTCGCGACCAGTAGGGTACACCAGGTCGGGCGTGAGGACAAATACTCGCCGAAGACATTGGCTAAGGATCGCGCTATGTCGTAAATTGGAAAAAGTTAGAATTCTTGGGCTGTCCATTGGATGGGGTCCCAGTGGCTTAATGGTATACGAGCTCGCTCGCCTTGTAATCAGAAGGTCCTGTGGCGGTGGGTGCGTACTGATGAAGAGTCCCAAACTAGGACGAAACAGTGTCCAGTACTCCCAGGTTTTCCAATGGTTCTCTAACTGATGTCACCTCATAATGAAATCCTGTAATCTATGAAGTCTTTCATGTAGGGAAGTGTAAACTGTCTAGGTTGGGGTCCTCGGGATTTTAAAAATCAATGGTTGAGGATTATTAATGATATGGCTGGAAATCGATCTCAGTGGCGTAGATACATCCAGTTTTTTGTCAATCCAAACTCCCACATTTGATATAAGGATAACACTTGAGCACTGTGGTAGATTATAATTCGATTATGGATAAAAATTTTATTTTGATAAAGTCTCAAAGTGTTATACAGTAATATTTACTGATGACTACGTTTCGAGCATAATTCATTACTGCTCATAATCATATCAGGGTACTGTCACACTACTTCCTGACTTCGTTTATATACATGAATAAACAAAATGACTAGACATATGAATCAAAATAAAGTTCAACAGACATGCGTGAAACACAAAGGAAGATAAAGTGCATTCGGAAACAATATTAGTGTTATCAACAAAATACAATAGGATGGGAAAGAAGGCAAGTGTTGTTGGTCAATAAGATGGGAAACAAGATGTTTTTTATAGTGAGATAAATAACTTGTTATAATGTTATAATGTGAATTGAATACATTTTAACAATTTTTATTATCCTCTGATTTGACTGGTAATAATATCATCCATATCCCTGGTATTTGCATTGAGTCACTTGTATTGCATGTGGTGGGTATAGACTCGATGAACCAGGCAGGATTCAGTAATCATTCTCTTTCTCCGCCTACCTATATTACTCTTTAGAATTTGAACTCTGTCCTACTGTATTGTGTGGTTGTTTATGTAATGCTGTGTGAGTAGTGCATTCAGTGCGATTGCTAAGTTTTTTTCTTCTAAATTACTTATCCTGATCTTATTTGATCTTAAAATGTCATCACTACTAGACTTGATGATATTATCAGCAGTAATTTCAGTAATAGGATTGGTTTTGTGTGTTTTCCTACTAACGTTAACTGTGACTGAATCTTGTATTCTGCAGAACTCTTACCTTTATACGACATGCTTTTGTCTATTCCATACATTCTAATTTCCTCTTGGTTACTACGATTTGACTATATTTCAGTTTACAATTAGTATTTTACCTGAAGACATTTTATTTCCTTTACGACATCATATGTAGTGTGCTGGCAGATGGTGGGAAAATAAGGGAGAAATAATAGTTCACATAATAAAGAATTTAGCAATGATTGGTGGAAGTCACTATAGCTACAGGAATTTCAGTAGTTCGTGTAATTCACGACTGGAAGTAGTATGGCTTTTGATTGAGGAGTTGTACAGTCATCTTCATTCACTTATTCAGTGGTTTGGAAGATTTCATCTTGAGGTGACATCAATTAGAGAACCATTGGAAAACCTGGAAGTACTGGAAAGCTGTTACGTCAGACTACTTTGGGACTCTTCAGAAGTACGCACTCACACTGTGGGGTTCGAACGTGGGATCTTCTAGTCACAAGGCCAGCGAGCTCATAGACCATTCAGCCATTGGGACCCCTATCCAATGGCCAGCGCATGAATTCGAACTTTGCCATTTCATGACATATCGCCATCACTTCTCAATCTCTTCGATGAGCTACTCCCTCACCTTCAACCTCCAGTTGTATCAGAAGATCGGTTGTTTTGCTTTGTGGATAAAAGTTTACTCTTCGAATCTTAGGCTCTAATACTATTTTCAATAATAATAATAATAATAATCCCCATTGAATTATTAAGAACTTACTATTTTTAAGAAACTATGTCACGTGGGGAAATTTAAACAGGTGGTAATACTTAAAATAATAATAGTAGTATGAAATGCAATTAAAATGTTTATGACTATTATTATGATCATAGTGTGGTGAGAGCAGGCTGCTAGCCGATTGGTTGGCACTAATCTACGTTAAGGTCTAGGTCACTAATATGGGCCGTGAGAAAATATGAACAAGCCTGAGTCAACAACCAATCACAGCAAAGTTAACGTGGCAGAATATGATTCGCAGAGAGAACTCTATTTGTCAAGGAATCCCGAAACAACCAATCAGAAGCCTGCGTTTGTCTACCTAAACAACCAATCAGATGACTGCGCTTGTCTATAATAATGTAGTTGAAAGATGTATAAATACGTGTTGATTTTCATAATAAAACGATCTGTTGCCTGGCCCTTGTCTTCTGTTGTTACATTTGGTGTCGCTGCCTACCGACAAATGAAAAGCCTTATCCCTGCAGTTTTTGATGGAGACATATGGATCTTCGGGCAGGACTTCAAGGCTTCTGCGCAGTTGAGTGGCGTTCAAGATCTGTCAGCGATGGAGCTGCTACTTGAGACGCTGCTGGGAGGTCGGGCGAAAGCAGCATATGAAGGTGTGGGCCGAAGTATGGACGAATGTTCGACAGGGTCAGGCAAACAGTTTCCAAAGTGGGAAGGACCATATATGGTCACTTCGAGATGGGGTTACGCAGACACAGTCGCAATGGCGAACAATGAGAGGTGCGTGAACGTCAGCGAGCTCCAGAAATGGATACAGCGAGACAAGCCAACGATGACGCCTGCACCAAGTAGATCAAGCCGACTTCAGTCGCACGTATTTGACGGGGGGACGAGTGTGGTGAGAGCAGGCTGCTAGCCGATTGGTTGGCACTAATCTACGTTAAGGTCTAGGTCACTAATATGGGCCGTGAGAAAATATGAACAAGCCTGAGTCAACAACCAATCACAGCAAAGTTAACGTGGCAAAATATGATTCGCAGAGAGAACTCTATTTGTCAAGGAATCCCGAAACAACCAATCAGAAGCCTGCGTTTGTCTACCTAAACAACCAATCAGATGACTGCGCTTGTCTATAATAATGTAGTTGAAAGATGTATAAATACGTGTTGATTTTCATAATAAAACGATCTGTTGCCTGGCCCTTGTCTTCTGTTGTTACAATAGTTAAATGTCAAGTATCAAGTGGCAAAACAAATAATGTCATATATACAATAATTTTCAATTGTTGGTTTGCAAGGATTTGATTGGTTAAAGGTTAGTTTGATAACGAGTCGAAATCAGTTAGTGAACCATTGGTGACATGGCTCAAAACCGTTCTCAGTGGCGCAGATGCATCCACTCCCTGTGACTTATGATCTTCAATGAAACTGTTTTGTATTTCTTTATTACTCCTTTGTCTCACACCTCTGCTCACTGTTTCTATTATGCTTTTCTTGTACTTTCTTCTCTTGCTTCGCGTGCTACACGGAATGTGGCGACTTGAACTTCCGCAGATTTGTGCAAAGTTCTATGTCGAAAACAGACAGACAGACAGTGAACCATTGGAGTACTGGACACCTGTTTCGTCCCAGTTGGGGAATTCTCATCAGTATGCATCAACTTGAGTTCCTACTAAAGACCTTCTGATTACTAGGCGAGCGCTTAGACTATTAAGCCACTGAAACCTGATCAAATGCCCCGTGAATCCCAACTTCTGCCAGCTCGCGAAGTATATATATATATAAAAAGAGAGAGAGCAACCGCCAACCAATGGCATAGGTGAGTTACTGACCTCTAAAGTAACTTGGTGGACCCCGCTGGTTATGAATAGTTCATAGGATGTTTAATTGTTCGAAGTGAGTGTATAATTATTTCTGATTTAGGATGACAAATAGCACAAGTGAAATAATACCGGGAACAGCTCAAAGTGAGAATAGTAACAGTAGTAATAATCGTGATAATGAGGGGATGAATTCAATAGATGACCTCAATCTTATACATTTTCCACTATATATAAATTATAGTCCTATATTTTAAAGTGTTCACCTTTATGTGAATACTTACATTGCTAGTTATACTACATTCTATTTTTTGGTTTATTTATTTTTAGCAATCAGATCTAAGTAAATATATTGAAAATCATCCACGTGGAATTAAACTACATAATGTCCGAGTAAGTTTACTTCATTATTGTTCAATCTTTTTCTATTGTTCTTTTTTCAGTACACTGGAAGTGTACTTTACCTACTGCATTTTTGAATCTTTTGTAACTGCCTCATTAGTTAGCGCTTTTGAATTTTAATAAGTAGTCTACGAGTTTGAATCTCACTTATGAAGATATAATGTGAAAGTGTGTGTTGTGGTACCCTTTGTGGTGTGGGTTTCTGACAGGACTTCGTAAATAGTATATCCTTCTGCATTGGTATTTAGTTGTGTAGAGGCGAAATGAAACATCAAAGTGAATGAAAGGTAGTCGGAAGAAGTACAATACGAAGAAAATGTGAAATGGAGATTTCAGCGATAGGTTACTATATTTTGCCGAAACCGTACTTCACTTTGACTAATATACACTTCTAATGTTACACTGTCAGTCCTCATACTGTAGGAATTAGTCATTCTAAAATGAGTAGTATTCACTACCGATCACACAACACCTGCCTCTACAAATATCTTTTATTATTTTTTCCGTTTTATACTGTCAGTTCTCTTACGTGTGATATTTTTTAGGTTTTTTCATGGTAGACCATTTCCTCAATTCTTTTATTATTTTCATATAAGTAATCAAGAGAGTAGAACTGTCCCACATAGTAGACATCTCAGTTACACTGTATAGTCTGTATTTCGTTTGTGTCCTGAGCTTTAGGAATGGAGTTTTAATAATCGCCTATGCTTTGTACTATGTTGTCACCTGAGTCTTCCTTTATCTTTGGACACCCAGTATATATCTGCCTGACTATATATATATATATATATATATATATATATATATATGCTAGGTCTGGCCCTGCTGTTTTTCGCTCTTCAGTAACTTTCTGGTGTACAAGACTTCTGCTTTTCAGTCAGCGGACTAACGTCAGATAAACTAGAAGATCTGTGACTGGGGACCGACAAGTTGGTAGATGAAGCACCTAAGATAAGACTTGAAATGAATATAGAAAAGGTAGAGAGTCTTCAACGCGAATGTTAAATCAGTTCTTCTATACGGTTCAGAGACTTAGTGAGTGCATCACGTGTAGCATTTCCAACAGACTAAAAACTTTCATCAAAAGCTGATCTTACTCCATATTGAGAATCAGATGATCAGAAAAGAAACGCAACATGGCACTTCGGCAACGAATCAACCAAAAACCTATTGCCTATCAAATATACAGAAGGTTATAAAGATTGATTTGACACACCGAGGGCACTGTTGAGTGACGTCACGCTCTAGAGAGTTGAGTGAAGCCCGAATGGAGAACGATGAGTAAGGCGTTCAAGTGTAACATTGAAAAGATAGTATGAGGAGGATATGTGAGATCTTATGGTCTATTTTGGAGACAGCTAAACAGGAGTGCAGAGAACCAAATGGTGAAGTGGTGTTCTAGTGAAGCACTATGTTCCAGTCGCAACTTAAAAGAATAATAGTAGTTGTTGAATATTGTACTTGTTGAAGAGGACAGCAAATGTTATGAACTTAGTTTGGTTATATTACTTTATTACATTTCTATGAGGTATTATTCCAGTGTACTAGTTTATAATTTTTGGTCTTTTCGAATACAGTGTTTGATATACATGTTATTTTTATTTTTTAGCTTTTTCTTTATCAACTATTACGAGGTTTGGCTTACTGTCATGATCGTCATATCCTTCATAGAGACTTAAAACCTCAAAATCTGCTTATATCCGCTCAAGGTGAATTAAAGCTTGCTGACTTTGGGTTAGCTAGAGCTAAATCTGTACCAAGTCGTACTTACAGTCATGAAGTTGTTACACTGTGGTATCGTCCACCAGATGTCCTTCTTGGTTCAACATGCTATACTGCCTCCCTGGATATATGGTAAGTTTTGTTTACACATTTTTTGAACTTTGATGATGTACGACAGGATGTTATCATACATGGCTTCGAAATTAGTTGTAATCAAATACTACGTTTTCTGTGCTACTATGAAGTGTAATAACGTGAACTGATGCAACCAATTCTGGACAGGTTTCTCCGCTGTTTCGCCTATCTTTCGGTAGTATTTTGTTGACATCAATGTATGTTGGTCGAATGAGAATCTCATTCACCTCAACGTACAACTCTTCATAGTGATTTATTTTCGGTTAATCAGTTTTGGTCGGTCAAACTATACTTTCTTATTCATTCTCACTATGTCACTGTTTCTGATCTCAGGCATGTTTACATATTTCTTCAGCCCGTATCTTTTGTTTATCATATCCTTGTTATAACATTCAACTGCATGCTGCACTATGACGTCACTTTTATAGTAGAATACTTCTGGAACTCACCACTATATAGTGGTTCACTCATATATTTACAGTTTCAAAGAAGAATTAAACTGAGTCAGCATTCATGATTCTTGAATGAGTCTGTCTTTGTTATTTCCATATTGTAAAACAGAGAACAGTCGAAATCTGTGATCGGATCTGATGTAGACGATAGTTTTCATGAATATTTAGCTATAGACAACTGTTTAAAAGAAATTTAGATGGCACTGATATGGAAATATTTATTATAAAATACTCGCATTGACTGCGCATCTACATATGTTACTTTCCTATCTCATTTTTAGGGGCGTTGGTTGTATTTTCACCGAAATGATATCAGGAGTTGCAACATTTCCTGGATCAAAAGACTCAGTGGATCAACTTGATAAAATTTTTCGGGTATGTTTTCAATTCTACTGTTGCATATACAGCTTATACCCTTAGTCTCACTTTTTCCCTTGTAAATTAAATATGAATCTGGTCTTGTTGCTTAAGCTTGTTAATATATTTAGTACTTATTTTGTTACCCGCCCCCCCCCCCCACCGATTGGTAGATAATACCTTAACTTGACAGTCGGGCTTTCATATCGTATCGATATAGTATTAAATGTTCTCGCCCTGGCAGGTTGAATGAATAGTGGTTTTACCAAAAGCAGTTATCATAATGTGATAAGTTATATGGACTATAGTAGCAATTTGAGGACGATATTGTTCTGCTGGTGGATAGGAGCTTAGCGCCAGTGAGATGTTTTCCTCATGTGACAATCAAGCCAGGTGCCCTTTTGAGTGAAGTGAACTTTAACAGAGTAGCCAGCTGGAAAGTATCAAACACTTAACTTTCCTCGTCAGCACGCAAATAACATCTGTTAACGATTTATCCTGCTCATATTTCGCTTAAATTCGAAATTTATATCCTTCCACTGTTGATACTGTCATTCTGCATATTCTCCTATCTTTGGTCGTTGCAATCGACACATTCTAGAGAAAGATTGTTCCTAATCCTTATATAACATGGTGGACTTCATACTAAAGCTTTCAGCATCCAATCCATATACCACATTTTGGCCTTCAGATGTTTGTTGGTTCCGCTTCAGACAGTTGTATAACATGCCATATATTTACCCTTATTTACTGTAATGTTTATAATATTAAGCTTCTGGTAGACTTCAGATGTCATCTTCTTTGGTTAGTTACTCTATGGCTCACAACTATGATGGTATACTGTAGTGACAGTGAGTTTCACTTTGATTATTCTGTGTTCTTTTTTTGAAGTATGGTATCTTGAAGTGATGCTTTTTTTTGCATTGTTCTATGCTTCTTTGTCAATCTGTCTGTTTTGTTGAGAAGTCATTCAGACAGTTTAGGTGGAGAAAAGACCGCATATTTACCAACTAATACTCTGCTTTATATTATATATATATATATATATATATATATATATATATATATATATATTGTATGTATGTATAATCATTGTATGTATATTTCTGTTTTATACCCATTTGAGTGTGTGCAGTTTTCCATGCTGACTTTGCAGTCTAGATACCGTAGTTGAACACTCGATTAAATGAAATTAAAAATCATATTTAAAGTAAGATAACTGTTCTGTCAGCCTTTTGTGTATACTGCCGGCTGTTTGCATTCCAGGCTTAGTACTTGATTGTATCTTTTCAATTCTACTCAAGACTGAATTCACTTAATATTCTAAAGCATCACCGCAACAAAGTGATTGGACAGGGAAAACGTTTGTTATTATTATTCCCTTCAGTTCCGACTGTACCAAATGGCTACAGCAACACATCTCCACTTTGTTCTATTCTCTGCTGTCCTCTTCAGCTGCATCCACGATTGCCTATAACCTCTCATCCCCTCCATGTCACCCTTGCACCAATTGCTCACTTGTCGCTTCCCATTGGGATTCCACTCGACCTATGGGCTGTATTGCGCGTTATGTCATTCGATGGCCTCCTCAACGTGTGCCCGATCCATCTCCATTTCTACACATATGTTGAGCAGTAGGTTCTTAATTGATTTGTTCTCAACCAGAGTTTTAAGTTGGCCAAGTTTCTCATCCCTATTGAAGAACTGATTGACTTCACATTTGTGTTGACTGAGTGCAGAAGATTTCGAAACTGGTTTCAACATGATAAAAGGCATGCCTACCTTTCCGATTTTGGTTTTGTTAGCTACTTTTAATGAACAGTAGCTCGCCTAATGAGTGTCCTAGCCTTCTATTTTTTTCATCTGGTTAGTCTTGTATTTCAACTGTCAGTAGTAACAGAGCAATGTCCCGTAGTTCAGTAACCATGCGACATACATGATTGCTAGATTCCGGTGGATACATTCGGCAGTAGATAACTACATCAGTTACCACTCGCCATTAGTTTGAATGTTCATAATCAAGTGTTAGAGTTGAGGACAGCTGGGACCTGACCTACTGTAGTGAATATGACTCCCACTCCAGCATTGAAGAAAGAGGGTTCGAGTAGTAGAGGGGGCATGAATTTTCCTAATAAATTAGGTACGATTATCGGTGAGTTCTTATAGGCACAAAAAATAAATCTAGAGTTTACTGCTTTCTATATGCAAGGTGACACAAGAATACAGCTGAATGGATATTAGAGTTTTTACGTTGTGATTTCGAAATATTATAGATATGCAACTCAGGTGGATGATTTTGATGAAGTTGCTTTTTATGAGCCAGGTAGTGTAATTCCAAAGTCTTCATTTTCCTTTTAAACACCAATCTTCAGCGCTTACTTCAATATGAAGTGGACGTATTTGAATTAACCATGTATTATACAATTTTATCTCCTGACAAACCTTTTATATGATTGGTTGTCAGTATGCATCAGTATTGATCATATATCTATTGATTCTGAACTTGACCTTTTCTCGTGTGCCTTATTCTTTATTAGCTGATAAATTTGATTTATGCTAATGTATCTACTAATCACTGATTCATCCGAGTACCAGAGTTATAACAATTTTCCGGTATCTTTGGTGTTTACACCAATCAGATTGATATCCATAGTTGTCTACAAGCATTAGCATTAAAGAATATGTGTCGTGTCTTTTCACAGGTAGTTTTTGCTCTCCAACTCGGAGTCGAAGGGGATATCTTATATGAAGACAAAAATTGTCTTTTTCAAGTGTTGGTTTGTAGGGATTTGATTGATTGGTTACAGGACTTCATCATGAGCTGACATTAGTTAGAGAACCATTGGAAAACCTTGGAGTACTGGGCACCTGTTTTGTCCTAGTTTGGGACTCTTCATCTGAACAGTTACTAAACAAAGGGATATTTTTACTTGGGACTCATGTGAACGATTCGATAATTTGCTTGTACCAGTTTTCTAATTAGCTAAAATCAGTGGGACAACGAATGTGTTCATAAACTATAGATGTTAACCAACATAACGTTTTGTTTACTTTTACTTTCTTCCCTCTTAGGTTATGGGTACACCAAGTGAAGAAACATGGCCTGGTGTTTCTAAACTACCTAAATACAGAAGTTTATTAGGCGATATCAATTTGAATTTACCAGTGCAAAGAACTAAAAGTATATCAGTAGCATTAAGTAATGATACTACTAGTGGATGTGAAGAACGACCACGTAAACCTGGTGATAGTGATCAGAAACAAAGACGTTTACATTATTATCCTAGTCGACCATTGCATAGAGTTATATCACGTTTAAATCGTGCTCCACATGCTGAAGCATTAGCTGTACAATTTTTACAACTTCAACCATCGAAAAGAATTAGCGCTAGAGCTGCTATGCGTAGTGTATACTTTTCAAATCATTTGCCTACTGCTCAACTTGCCTGCCTTCCTGACAGTAAGTGACTGTTTTGCCTTTTTATAATTGTTTTTCGAGGTGTGATAAACAGATTTATAGATAATATTTTAGTTTTCATAACAATAAGATTATAATCAGTACAAAAAGGGGCATTCAATTTTCTCTCTCAAAAGTACTTCTGAACAAGTTTTTTTTTTGAACAGTCTAGGACCTGTAGACTTTCTTTTTTTCATTTGTTGTATTTAGAGTGGAACATAGGTCTTCAGTTTTCGATGTTCCAATTTTAGACGTATTGTTTTCATAGGCTTAGGATGGTAGTCCCACGTCCAAGTTTCCCTCTTTCTCCTGGTCGACAACCAGTTAGTAAAGTAAAAACAACGATTTACGCAGAATAAAATGTTTTCATTGTATATTTAATTGGCTCCTCATCAACCGGTCACATCCGAAACAAATAAATTAAGTTTACGTTCAGGACAATTTCAACTTGTTTGCAAATGTTACATAATGTCACTTGACAGGAGGCTCCAAACCAAACAGAAGGCGCAGAGAAATATATGTGACTTATAAACAAAGGTGTGTGTCGGTGTCACAGCGGCAGAATGCCCGCCAACCACGCCTGATGTGGTCCAGGGTTCGACTCTTGGACAACGCACTCCTTTGCTTCAGTAAGCCAGTAATAAGGCTAGTAAAAAGAAAATGTTGAGCATCAGGTTAGCAACCCTATTCCGTTAAAAATAAACACTCTTACTACCGAAACTTGAAGCCTTATTTTTCACTAAGAACGTGAAGGAATATATATATATATTAAGAGTAAATGAACAAGCAACTTTTTTGGTCAAATTGAACTTCCTGTGTATAAGCTCCATAAGAGTGATTTCTGATTACCGTTTATTAATTTTCAAGTTGCCTGTCATTTGACACCATGTAACACTTGTAGGTATGTCAAAACTGTTCTGTGCATAAATAAACGTGATTCATTTATTCAGGTTGTAGGTAACTGATGAGAAACCGACGAAATAAACTATGGCACCACTTTATTCTATCCAAACTCTCGTTGTTGTTTTATTCAAATGCATAAAGGGATGAAGTGTATGATGGAAACGGAACTCAGACCTCTTATGTGGCTGCCTATCATTCTACCATAGGCTGATCAATAGACACATTAATGTTTTTGGAAAATTAAACTAGCTTTTAACTGTTTACTCTAGCGATGCTTTCAACTTTTACATTGATTTCAAGTTTCAAACGACTATTTGTTAGTGGTCTATAACATATTGCTAACAAAATTATCAAGTGAGATATTTTGTACATTGCGTTTGTGAATACGATGATTTCACTGTTTAGCATTACCGAGATTCTGAGTATATCGATACTTGAAACTATGAATAATCACCATTCTGTTTAATTTATAAGAAGAGATGGAGGGAAATGCTTGTAAACTGTGCAGAAGAAAAGTATATACATTTACATGACTCCACTGTTCATAAGAGACACAGTCACTCAATTACTGGCATCAAAACTCCAAAATGTAATAGCTAAAACATTCTTTACTGCAACACTATGTTTAAAAGTCACCACTTGTTGTATAATTCCAATGCAGGTGAAGGATAAACTACCGAACCTAACCACCACAATGTGCATTTATAAATTTAATTGTTCTTGTGGAGAGAGTTGCATAGATAGAACAATTTGGAAAACCCACCATCGCCTTCTTGAGCATTGTTCAACGTGGTTAGGTGAAGGAGTCGTAAAGTCAATCAACAGTTCAATATTGACACAACTTGTGCAAACAGATTACAGAGTTGACAAAACAATCCGCCTTTACAATTCCATACCGGATGCCACCTAAATCCCCTAAGTTTGTACGTTTTCAACTGCTAATCTTAACTGAGGCAATCTATACAAGAAGTTTCCAGCTCAGTCTTTGCTCTCAGGAAGAGGTTTTTCAACACCTTTCCCCCACCCTATGGCCTTTAACCCCAATTTAGAATATTTATCCCAGTGACACTGGATAACTGATACTTCAGTATGTGTTTGTAAAGTTTGATGAGAATTTGCCGAAAATACGTATTTCCTTACTTAAATAGTATTTAATTGGTGGATGGTGACTAGCAGTGGAATCCAGGATAACGCGCATTTCGTCCTATTTGGGACTCGTCTGCCAGCTGGATGTACCTGCATTTCTCAGTGAGTGATGATTTTCCCACCGAGGCTCGAACCCAGTACCCATAGTTTCAAACAGCAAAGCGTTGTCTACTGGACCACTTGGGCCATGAGAGCCACCTCTTGTGCACCGGGTCATATTAATTTAATTCAATTAAATTAAATTAATATGACCCGTCTCAGGTTGCTTTGGCGTTTGGAACTATGGGCACTGGGTTCAAGCCTCGGTGGGAACACCATCACTCACTGAGAAATGCAGGTACATCCAGCTGGCAGACGAGTCCCAAATAGAACGAAATGCGCGTTATCCTGGATTCCACTGCTAGTCACCATCCACCCATTAAATACTAACTAAATGCTCAGACATCGTCGAGGCATCTGCACAAGAAGCCGACATGTCAACCTGAGACCGAGCATTTCAGTCCAATCAATCGACGGGAAAAACTCAAATTCAATAAAATTACTTGAATAATGTTCTATAGTTGAAATGCATCAATTTTATTCATTCAAAGTACCCGTTTAATATATCAGAGTAATAGGCCTAATTTAACACAAAGTCTACTCTCATTTCAACATTTCTATTAGTATTGTGTTCTTCTTTCATATGGTATTATTACAGGGTGTGATGCCTATTTGACTGTTTATAATTGTTTCTCTTGAATATGGGCGTTTATTTATTGTTTCCATATGCTAGTATAACTTGTCAATACATGAATGGCTAGTTTGTAAGAAGCATTTACACACTACTCTACACAGCTTAGTTGCATCTTTTCAATCTTTGTTTTTTTTTATACAGCTTTAGTGTTATCTACGAATTAAATGTCGTCTATTGTTTTGTTCAATCTTTAAGTTAATTTAGCATACACAGAAAGAAAAGAATATGGTCTAGGCTTAAGACGCCATTCTGTCCATTTCATCAGCGCATCCATTAACTAGCCATTGAAATCTTTTAAAATAATCTTTTATATTGTTTAATACTCACTAATTGTTTCTTTTATCTGTTTTCATATTTTCCAATGATTTTTACACTTAGCTGTATCTATATTTGTCATACCAAACATACGCTTGGTTCCTGAGTCAACTTCACAACCAAGTCCAAACAAAGAATCATCACGTAATTATTATCGACGACATGCAAATGAAAATGATCAAATTGATATACCAATACAACATCAACACGGGGATCCATCAGAAGTTGATGAATTTCCTGCTTCAACTACTATTGTCGATAGAAATGAAAGTGTTCATGGGGAATCGCATGGTCGTTGGCATCGTCCAGGTCTTTCAAAATTTGAAAAACAATTAATAGCTGATGAAAGTTTACAATTACCGTCATCTCCAACCTCGGGAACAAATTCATCTAAGGTTTCATGGTTAGGACTACAGAATATATCTATATCAGATAAAAATCGAAGTAATAGCAGTATGAATTGTAAAGCTGTAGTGAATGGAAAAGGCAATAGTGGATCTGAAGGTGATAAGAGTGTATCTCAAGATGAGAATCCTACAACTAATCATTTATATGTCTCACGAGCTTATGAGTCAGCAGATGCTGTATTGAATGCTGTCCCTTTCGACAAACCAAATGATGATGTATCTAAATTAACCAATGAAGAATGTGAACCAGTTAAAGTCTTTCCTGCCTGTTTTGATTTACCTAAGAAATCTGATCGTCCAACATCAAAGGTGCCACCCTCTTCCTCCCGGATTCAAATGGCCAACCCTATGTCTCCGAATTCACTGTCTAATTCAGTTTATGATTCACCTGTACGTGCTTCAACTGTTTTCTCTAATCAAACATCTGATTTCCTCTCTCCTGCCAACCGTCCAAATTTGCATACACTATCAGGTTCTACATCTCAAGTCTTTCCCCCGTATCTTCATAATGCTCAACAACAACCTATGCTTACGCCATATCCTGCCTTAACGCCTTTATTTTATTATCCTGATTATTATTACCCAGAGTGGAACAATGTACAAAATTCTGTATACTATCCTCAGATGCCGACACTGGATGAACGTCGTACAGCTGCCGCGGCGGCAGTGGCAGCCGCTGCAGCTGCGGCCGCCGCAGTTACACTCTATCCTGCTGTTGCTCCACACTCAGATACACATTTACCAGGCAACCTTGTCTCTTCCATGTGTTCACATGATCATGTGCCTCAAGAAATGAGTATGATATCCAGTACAATGGATCCTGGTTCTTTAAATATTAGCAAATGCAGTGATAGTTACAATGAAGAGTCTTTAGGCAAAGAACCGCATTCTAATCGACCAGACGATAAACCATGTGAAAGCTTTAACTGCAATATGTCGTTGCCTGGAACCTCTGATATACAGTTGTCCAACAGACTGCCATCTAACTTCAGCAGTTATTATATACCATATGGTTTACCCTTAAATTGTTCAAATCCAATGTATATGTGTCCCTGCTTTGGAGCGGCTAACTGTGTTGGTGCACCGAACTCCACTATACCAGTTATGCACAACCCTTCAGTTTTTTGGGATCCTAATTCAATTCCTTATATGTTTCATATACCTCGACAACACAATGTTATGCCATGTGAAAGAGAACGATCTCATAGTGCTTCACTAGCTACTTCTTTGAGTGTTGGGTCAGATCAAAAAAAGCATAGTGATAGTCCGAAATCACAAGTACCAAATGCATCCTTCAATCAACCACCTTATCCTTACTCACAATCACATTTATCGACTGAGAATAATTCTAAAACTGCTGATTCTTTGAGCACATCAGAATCTCATACTAGTCATGATACTATGGTCAATAGTTCGACAGTTTTCTCAAATTGCTCAAATCTAAATTCTGACTTATCTCAAGCAAACTTTTCATCTCAAACACACTTCCCTCATGTGAATGCTGATCAACAAACTTGTAGACCATGTCAAAATACAATAGGTCTCACACCTTGTCAAGTAAGATTTCTATCAACCTTTACGTATAGTGTATTTCTATTTAATAAGGAATACAAAAATGAAACTATTCCATACTATTATTTACTATTTATCTGAATTTCATTCTTGTCTTCTACTTGGGTAATTGTAACTCTTAGCTTATGCTGTGAAATAAATATCCGACTTCCATATCGCTCCTTCGTTTGTTGCTGAGGATATTCCCAATTTAAAAAGTGGCGAAATGGCCACATATTTGCCTGCAGGAGGAGTTTGACTTCGTTGACCATGTGGCTCTATGTGTCTGTGAAAACGGTGACGAAAAATATATTATTTCTGAACATCCGTATTCATCTAAGACCTTTGAGTCATCTCTTCCATGTATCCTAATAGCCTAACAAACTACACCGACTGGAAAGAATGCTACCAGGCCACATAAGTCATCTGGACAGCGGTCAAACCCAGTTGTACTGCTTACGAATAAGGGCGTGATAGCAGTAAAATATTTCCCTCGGTCTACCAACAGGCCATCTATACTGCCTCTCTGCTTCGTGCGATGAAGCAGTTAAAAGGAGTCAATCTCGGAAAGTGCACTTCTCGCCTTACTTTTTGGCGGCCTGTAATTGACAGTTAGATCTGCATACGGACGGAACTGCAAAAACCAGTTCTCAACAGAACGTTTGCGACTGATTTGAAGTAGTTTTCCCCTGGGTTCTGAGTTCGCGCAGCACCAATGCTCTTTCTGCTTCAGATATTTCTAGGACAAGTTAGCTATAACTGTGTAAACAGCTGGGAGGGAATAATCTCTTAGACACTTCTATAACCATACAAAGCTCTCCATAAGCATTAGTTCTCATGACGTCAACCATCATGGTGTCTGCTAATGAAAAGGAAGCCTATTCAATAGTTTCGGGTTTTGTTATCATAAACCTTTCAAACTAGAATATTGTTACCAATGTCCACTCTTAGCTGTCTCTATATTATCTGCATTTTATGACCTTTGAAGCTTTCACCTAATCTGAAACGCTAGTGACTGTCGGTCAAGAGAGTATTGGTATGCATTGGTATTAGATGGTTGGAAGTAATTGGCGGGAAGCCTTGCTTAACATAGGTTTCGTGCTTGTTGGCACTCACCAGTCAGCAAGGCGTATCTGCATCCTAGAAGGAACTCATTTCACTTCTTAGATTCGAATAGGCGTCACCCAGTGGTGTAGTCAGAGACGTTACGACTGAGCTATTTGATCTCGCAAATAACCTTCTGTAGGACTTTTTAGAATGTTATAATGTGAATTGAAATAAAATCTTAACATTATTTGTTATCCTCTGGTTTGACTGGTGGTAATGTTGTCCAATAAGAATGTGAATGTAAAATTAAAAAATTATGTGCGGTGTATACTGCCGATAATTCCCAAACTAGGATGAAACAGCTATCCAGTACTCCCTGTTGGTTTCAGTGGTTCTTTACCTGATATCAATCGGTGGTTCAACTCGTAAAAGCAAATTTAATCTTTACAAACCAACTCTTGGAAATATATTAATGAGAGAACGAATAAAAAGGGCCGGTCACTTAGTGTTTCTCAGTGAATTAGTAGTTTCTTGCCTTACACTTTTCTCATATCCTAAAATGACTGCTAAATAAGGCATCATAAAATTCTCAGTCTACTGAACATAAAGTCTCTTATAGAGTTGCTTATATTCCTACTTGATGGAATGCAAGGAGGAAGTTGTGTATAGAGAAGATGTTCAGTGTCCGATAATACGATATTTGCTAATTTTTTGCATGAGTTCAAATATTTATCTCCAGCAGTATTAACAAGTTGGTCTAGCGAAACCCACTCACCCTACTGACAGCTTTTAGAGCCTTTCATAATGTTCAGAAATCTTTATATGTAGCCCAGGGTATATTTATTGCGAGCAATAGACAAAAATAGATAGAATACAAGAATTAACAAACTCTAAAAGCAGAGACTGAGTGACACCATATTTTTTTTAACTTCCTTACGTAGGACTTTATATGGAATTTCTTTCCAGAAACTAACATGATACAGAAAGACCAAGAAGGATAAAACTGAAGACACAATCAGTGATACTTCACATTCAACTTAGTTTCGATTTCAGTGCTATCTATGATACTAGAATAATAAGAACCAACCAGTTCATGTAAGTCGTGTTTATGTCTGGAAATGAACAACCTGACCTTCGAAGGGATTTAGCTTAAGACCATTTGACCAAAGACCATTGACTAATTTCTGAGAAAAAGTTAATCATTTTGGAACAGTCTGGAATTTGTTGATTCCCTGCTTTCTAGGTGTTGTCACTCATAGGCGAATTAACTTCTAACATTCCAGCCTAATGTATACAGTCGGGAAAGATATTCTGTTTCATAACTGTTTCTGTTTGTTATTGAATTTCTTCTGCAATCGAGTGATATCTCAAAAAAATTTGATTGATCCAATCTTCAATATAGAAATATCCCCATTTAGACATTTAGAAAACAGAAAGATTGAGCGAAGAAATATTCACTTTTCAATTAGATCCTCATCTCTGGCTCTACTGTAATATATATGGCATTTTTATTACAATACACAACAGTTTACCAATCAAGTGGCGATATGTTTAGTAACAATATTTAGTCAGTGTCAACATGTCAATGGGGAAAAAAGTCGCTGATGCAGTCACCGAGCAACTGCAATTTTATGAACAGAGTTTTTTTCGGAACTGTTACCATACTGACTCTCCTAGGTGTTGAATTCATGACATGTTGGCACTGACTAACTGTTATTAACAAACATATCACTACTTGATTGGTAAATTGTTATTTATTGTGATAAAAATGCCATATATATTAGATTTTCTATAGTTTTGGTTTGTAAGGATTAGTTATGTTTTATGAGTTGATCACGGATTGATATCAGTTAGAGAACCATTGAAAACCAGGGAGTACTGGACAGCTGCTGTTTCATCCTAGTTTGGGAATCATCGGCAGTACGCACCCACTGGGTTTCGAACCCAGGACCTTCCGGTTACAAGGCAAGCTCGTATACCATTCAGCCACTGGAACTCGATTCAATGGCTCGTGAATTCTAACTTCTACCAATTCGTGATTTAGCGCGACCCCAACCATTGTCGTTGGTGGGACATCCATCCACACACGTGACATCTAATTGGACCTCACTGGTCACGACTTCTCACTAGAACTCAGGAAACTCCAACCTGTAGCAAGTCACTAGCGAGCATCAGATTAACTTTCTACAGTTTTGGTTTGTAAGGATTAGTTATGTTTTACGAGTTGAAACCCAGTGGGTGCGTACTGCCGATGATTCCCAAACTAGGATGAAACAGCAGCTGTCCAGTACTCCCTGGTTTTCAATGGTTCTCTAACTGACATCAATCCGTGATCAACTCGTAAAATATATATTAGAGTAGGGCCAGAGATGAGGATCTAATTGAAAAGTAAATATTTCTTCGCTCAATCTTTCTGTATTTTAAATGTTAATCCGATTTTGTAAGCCCAATCTAAATAATGATAATAGTGTAGGGATGAATCCCATCGGGTCAGTTGAACATACTGTCAATCGAGTTGCTTGATCTATTGGCTCAATACCAATTTGCCTTCGGTCTCCTTGAAATTAGTTGATTTCATTAAGTTACCACTTTTGCATTTATTTTGCTGAAACGTATGGTACTTTTTTAATTATATATATATATACATGCGTCAGTGGTTCAGCGGTAGAATGCCTGCCACTCACTAACATGATTCGGGGTTAGATATCTGGCCGACCCATTGTTAAACAGGGCTAAGCCGCTAGTAAGGCCAGTAAAGAGAGGAGGTTGGCTTTGAGGCTAGCAACCCCATCCCGCAAAAAATAAAACTCCCACTGCCACCAAAACCGCAACGCTCAAACTTGAAACCCTATGTTTTACTGGAAACGCAAAGGAATAAAATTATATATATATATATACTAAGATGATTTTTTCTAATGTAGATGTAGGCATTGTCGAATTTGTTCAGTAATTAGTTGCTTAGATTAGTTACCATAACATCACATAGTTTCATGTATCAGTCAGTTTTCTTACTCTAAATTTCCCTTCGTCTTCTTTCGTATAGGTTGGTTTCTCTGACCTCCAACAGACATATCTAATGAGACCAAATCTTATTCCTACAATGCCCAATTGTTTTTATCACAATGTAGCTAGTCCATTACGTTTTTTTCCTGATGCTAATGCTTACATTCCCCAGAATAGTTATCCTCAAAATACAGGCAATTTGACAAATCCACGTGATCATGTATATAATTCAGGAATGACAATACCTGATCATTTATACCATACGAATGGTAATAATAGTAATAATAATAATAGTAACACTAATGGAAATAATTGTGGTGATACCATTGAAACACCACCGTCAAACCACCTGATATGTACTCCATCGTCTTTCTTAGCTTTCTCATGTAATCATAATGAATCATATGAAGGGGAAACAATGAACTCTGAAGAGAAGAAGCTGAACAATAAGAATAAGAAGCCTGTTAATGATGATAACAATAATAATAATAATGATAATGATGATGAAAAGTCTTCTCATATGAAACATACCAACCCTTGGTATGACAATCATTGTTATCCAATGAATAAATGTTTGTCAAGCGTGGTTGGATATCCAAAGTCGAATATGCTGAGTAATAATAATATGCATAATAATATTGAACAACAAATGCATTATTTACATTTATATGATAAACGAAATACAGAGTTAGATGTACGCGTGAATCGAAGTATCAGTTTTACATCACCTGAAACTATGCGATTGGATCATTTACCGATAGTACAACAGCATAGCTTATTTAATAACGGTCTTAATCATAATAGCAATAATCATAATAGTCAGTATCAGCATCGTTTACCAGCGTATTCACATTATCGCTTACCTCGATCATATGCTTATTATCCAGCTAGTAATTATTCATCTCTGGCAGCAGCTGCAGCAACACAGAATCCTATACGATTCGGTATGCCTTTCAATAATAACAATAATAATAATAACAACAATAGCAATAATAATAATAATCATAGTAATAGTATGAACTATCCATACCGTTATCATCAATATCCTCACCAACACCAACCCCAATATCATCATCACCATTCGCATTCATTACAAGATAATTCTACTGGAAAACTGTCGAATTCATGTGGTTTAGATGAAATCTCACAGCAACAGCAACACCAGCAACAACAACAAATTAATCATAATAATCCATTACATTTTTGTCATTCATCATCATCTGATATGAATAATACTACTCACAATAATATCAGTAGTAGTAATAATAATAACAATAATGATAATGGTAATAATAACAGTAGTAATAATAATAATAATAGTAACAGTATTAATTTATTTGATACCTACGATCAACGGGCCCAGACAAATGTTTAAATCGTCAGAGATGCATTTTAACTTGATAATTATTATTATTGTTATTCTTGGCAATATTGTGCAATATCAGTACTCCCTTCCATCGGTTCGTCCTTTTAACCTTCATAAAGTATATTGGCTGATTGTCGTCTATTCGTTTGTTATTAGCATTATTATCTTGTGTATATACTTATACATATACATATATGTTTGTATTATTTTCCCTTTTTTAGATTCTTAACCTGAATCTCTTTCTTTGTGACACCGGAAATATAAATAAATATTCATCTCAGCAATCCTATCATATATATATATATATATATATATATATATATATATATATATATTATAAATCTTTTCCCTTTTACATCGATTGTGAGTAATCAGGATCTGTATTTTATAAAGCGAAAATGTGTTTCCCAATTAGAGGCAATAGAGTACTCATGAGATCGATCGATCGATCGATAGGCAAGTATTATTATTATTAAATTACTTCATGCTTATCTCACTCACTGCATTTCTGAACAGTTTCAATAGGTGTAAAAAAGAAACGATAAACAGGAAAATCAAACGAAACAAAATAAAACTGTCCATCACACACTGGACATTTTATTCATTGTATTATTGTACAAATCATAACCCTTTTAGTCTGTTTTGTTGGCCATTTTTTTTTAAATTTCAAAAAGAAAATTTTCGTTTTTTCTTTGGCCTTTTGTTTTCTTTTTTTCCATTACAGAAACTTTTGCATTTTGAAAATAAATAAAAGTGTAAACTGCATATTCGTTATATCTTAATTATTAATTATCATTATTTACGAGTATTTATATGTTTATCTCGTGCATTTGTTTGTCTGTCTGTTTGTTATATGTATGTATGTATGTGCGTATGTTATTAGCTATTTTTATTTATTTATTTATTTCCGGTTCATTTTCTTTTTTGTTTCCTTTGTTTTCCATTTTGACTATCTGAATGCATTTTATCCCATGTTGTTTCTTGTTTCCGAACTGCTCCAACTACCTTGCCATTTTCAACTTCAACCGTTCAAAGAACCAACCAACCACCCACCTACACAACCTGCTTCTTCCATTGTATTGTTCTTTTTGTTTCACCCTCTTCTTCTTCCTTCTCCTTCTCCTCCACATCCTCCTCTTCCTTTCTCTTATTTGATTTGTGTACCAGTGTAAATTATTTGCCAGTGAAAGACCTTACTCTTTTCATTTCTTTTTTTTTTGAGAAATACAACTTAAGTGAATGTCTTTGTTGGCTGTTGGTTCTATTTCTCGACTTATTTGTAGAAAATTCATTTATGAATGTCTGTGGTTTTGTGTTTTGAAAGGATTCACTGATGCGGTCCAAACTTTTATCTGTGAGGAAGTTCGCCTTGTCCTCCTCTATGTCTGTGAACTAATGGTCATTGAAAGTGGGGAGTATGAATAGGCTAGCTGGTTGTCTTTGACCACGGATATTTGCGTTCTGCTCCCCCACCCCCGCCTTCGAGTGGTGTTATATGGTGAGGTCAGGTGTACAGGATAGGCCAATCAATATGGTTGTGAAGGTGAGTCGGTTGAGATGGCTAGGACACGTGTTAAGCCTCACGAGTCTTTGTGTTCCTCATTGAACAATGTTAGCTGTCATTGAGATGAGCTGGAAAGGAGTTAATGGTGGTAAAACGAAAACGTGGCATCAGTTCATGAAGTCTTTGACAGTTGGTTTGAGTAATATGAGAAGTGTATGGGTGCTTGGTTGGGATCCTCGGGATGCTAAGAATCAACGGCTGTAGATTATCATTGTTCACATGGCTGAAAATCTTCTTCAGCGGCTTAAATGCATTCACTCTTTGTGATCTGTAATATCCACTAGACCGTCATTTTTTTCATGTTACCATTCTGCCTCCGTACAATTCTGCTTATTGAAGTTCTTTTTAATCTTTTTTCACTACCTTTGTTATATAGGGTTTGGTAAATGCTGCACTTCTGTGTAAATTTCTACATTGAAACTCAACTGCGAAATGACACGATATACCAGGTGGTAACATGTAACTGTTGACTTCTCTTACTAAAACTTCAAGTATCCTACAATTCAACTGAGCGATGATCAAATGACTAAGAAATTATCACAGATGTCTTGGTCATCATTTAATCGGATAAGAAGAGATTATCTGTCGTTTATGTGTGCCACTAAACAATTATTTTTCACTGATGATAACAAGTCTGTCTATGAGTTTTGACACGTATCTCCCATCTTGCCTCTATAACACACTTAGTAGCTTCCCACTGTATTATTATTATTATTATTGTTTTATCCTTTAATTCCTAGAGGAACATAGGGCTTCAGCTGCACATCTCCATTGCGTTCGGTTCTCTGCAAATCTTTTCACTTGGCTTCACATCTGCTCACATTCTTTCTTCTTCTCTTCACAGGACCTCCTCCATGTCACCCTCTCACTGACGACCAACTCGCCGCTTCCTATTCGGGTTTGTCTGGTGATGTCACTTGATGGTTTCCTCAGAGTATGGCCAATCCATCTCCATTTCTTCCTGCACATTTGTTGCACAGTTGGTTCCTGGTTGGTTCGCTCTCACAGATCCCTAACTATCGATGATCTTTTCTGGCCGTTTGATTCTGAGTAGTATAGAGCGGAGTCAGATGTTGATGAAGGTCTGAAGTTTGTTTGAGATGCTCTTTATGACGCTCTAAGTCTCTGATCCGTATAATAGCACTGACTTCACATTGAAGTTGAAAATCCAGATCTTATTTTTCATGCTGAATGCTATTGACCTCCACACAGACTTGAGAGCAATAAAAGCTTGTCTTGTTTTCCCTATCCTCGCTATGATATCTTCATCAGTTCCGTCCTCCTGTAGTTGAAACGATGCTTCCCAGGTAGGTAGGTAAAGGGGGTTGCTTGTTTCAGATTTCTTCCATTCATGCTGATTGTTGTCTGTTGTAGTTGTTACATTTAGTGTTGACCAGGAACCTTCGTCACCTCTGTTTTCTCTATGTTTACCTGAAGTCCTATCTTCTCTGGATACTTTTTCTGCCAACTTGTTGCTTTTCACTTGCATATCTTCCAGTTATTGGGAAATCAGAAAATATCCCCGACGAAGTCTAGATATTGGTGATAGGTAAAAGATAAAACTGTGATGAACTGGATTACGCGTCAGACTGTGCATTGTGAGTGAGAAGACAGGAATACATTGGAGCGACAAGAAGGCTCTAGAAGATCAGGATTTCGCGCATGATTTATGTTTAATATCAAACAAACTCCGAAGACTTTCGGATGGAAACCAACAAACTGGCTAAAGAGGCAGGCAGGGAAGATTGGACTCCAGGTGAACGTAGAGAATACGGAGGCGGCGAAGAAAACCAACCAACAAAAACAACAACCAGCACCAATCACCATCAACGAAAGAGATTTAACACATGTTTACCTCCTTCACTTATCTGTCTAGGAAGCATGGTTTCAACCACAGGCAGTTAGGACGGATGAAAATGTCAAATTCAGCCAGCCAGTGAGATACGCCTTCATTAACCTGAAACCAGTTTAGAAATCTGCACTCACTCAGCATGAACTACAGGATTTAGATTTTCAACATCAACATCAAATCGGTCAGTTCTTCTTTATTGGTCAGAAACTTGGTGAGCGCGTCCTGAAAACGATTTGCAATAAGCCACTGAACACTTTTATCGACAGCTGCCTTCGCCAGATCTAAACTAAAGATCAAATGGCCAGCAGGCCAGAAATAATTAGCAACTAGAAACTCTGACTAGAACCGATCGCCCAACAAATATGTGGGAGAAAATGGAGATGGACAGGGCACACTTTGGGGAGGTCGTTGAATGACATAGGGTGCAATGCATGCCACCACTGTAGTGGAACCCGAATGGGAAGCGACGAGTAGGTCGACACGGAGGAGATTTTACGAGAAGGAATTGAGAGATTATGGGGAATGGTAGAGCCGCCAGATGAAGAAGATAACAGAGAATAGAAAAAAGTGTAGATGTGTTGTTGAAGCCTTATTTTCCACTCGGAATCCAAGGGAATAATAACAATTAAGATATAAAAGTTTTTTTTTAAAACTTTTTCAGCGTTCTATATTATCCAAAAACAAATGATTTTCCGAGAAATATTTTCATGCGTAACTATCGTTAGTGTTCAGTCAGCTTACATGGATTAAGATACTTATAAGCCATTATCTTCGCTCTGTCAGCGCTTCTTATTTTCTCATTGAACGCGTTTACCAGTATTATTGTTATGCATTTATGCATTTTCCCTTCTCTTGTTGATTATTGACTTATCAGTGAATTATTATTATACACTAACGATTAATTTATTCATAGCTACATATAACATGTTACGGAGTGTTTATTTATCCCACAATTCACAATTGTCATTGTTTATCATTGTTTATGGACAACTTGAAATTGATTTTGAAATGATGATTTAGGTTTGGCCGCAAAATTTATGTTATATACCAAGCTGCAAATTCACAGACTATCAATTACGCTTTGTGGGAATGTGCTATACATCTACAACATAGTTTTCATTTTTATGTCAGTCTCTCAGATGTTTTAGTTCAGGAATAATGCGCTGCATCCAGATATTAGTGAAAACAAAACACGTAGTTCAACGAAGGGTCCCTTTTCGGCTTTACAATCACAATGATATGTAATTAATTTTTGTGTGTACATTAGGTTTGTCAGAGAAGAATAACAACTATTTAGGGTTATTATTTAAGTCATCAGATTATTTCAGAAAATGTGATGAATAGTTCAATTGTAACTAGATGGGGGAAAGGTTGAAGATTAGTAATAATGATGAGTTGTCAAAACACAAAAAAATTGTTGAAAAAGTGTATTTGTAGTTATGTATCAAGATGAATAATTTAATGAGTGACTTGCAATCAAGATGTACATAGAAACGAAGAAAAATATCGAATTATATATGAGTTCTAGAGAAGTTCCATGAACCCATGTGTCTTATGCTGTGATTATGCTAGTATTGGTCCGTTTGAAGGAACGAAAGTCAATGGCCAGTTTAGTGAGGATAAGCCAACTGTGTATGACTGGGTGATTGTTAAACTGACTTGCACGAATAAAGGCATTTCAAGTTACTATTTCAATGTTATTATTTTTGATGTAAATCACTTTGTGTCTTCGCTTGGTTGGTCAGATACGTCGTATGTTTGTTAATCATCTATATTCCGCGATAGAATGTTATGGGCGTGTCACCATTCAGAGTTGAGGATAAAGATGATAGAAGGAGATCAGCAATTGAACTCTGCGACGATTTTCCAATTTAGGGCGTCAACATGAGAAGGAATGTAGGCGTACTGCTGTAAGTCCTACAATTCTTCAAGAGTAGCACGTCAAGGTAGAGTCCACAGCATTTGATTTATTGATTGTACATATATTTGTGTTAAGTAATAGAGTGGGTTCCAGTTCATCTAATTGTCGGTTAATTTTATAGTTGTTGCATTGGGTGAATTATCTTGTAATGTTATTGTAAGTACTTCTCCTACACTTGTGAACGAATCGAGTGTACGCGATTTGATACGCCAGGGAGGGAGATTATGCCAGAACGACATGAAGCAACCAACACCCTGACGACCAGATCAGTGGTGGTACTGTCAACAGAGAGCGAAGGAAAGTTCCGATCACTGGGGAATATCCCAAACGCCGTGGAGAGCGCAATGGTGTGATGTGCTATGCTTGTTGTGTGTTGGGCCTTTTTGTCATGTTTTTCCATTTTAGCCGAGCCTTGGTTGGCCAAAGTTCCTGCGTTGGCAGTTCAGCTCAAGGTTATTGCTATGATGGAAAAAAGGGATAGACCTTTTTTGTCGGGGCGTATAATTGAAATAGAACGTTGGTTTAATGGCCTTGGTCAACATTGGCCATGTCGGGCAACTCGAAGGCGCGAATGATTCAATCATGCACAAATTCGAAGAAGACAAAAGAATATGAATAAAAGTACAGTACATTCCTTGTGAAAGATTTGTTTATAGACTTTGTACGAAATACTGAATTTAATTGCCTAACAATACAATTTCTTATTGGTCCTTGTGTTTTGGAGTTAAAGTTAGTAATCGTACCTAGTATAATTGTCGATTGGGAGCGTCTTCGCAAATAATAGGAACTTAGGGTTAAGTCCTTTGACAGTTAGAAAAACAAGTACACAAAAATCAAGTCTGTAGAAATCAACACTGTTGTGACCAATGATAGCAGAAGTGTTTGAATGATTTTCTTCTGTGTGCATAACTCTAATATTTCCAGCTGAACGTCTTAGGCTTCAGCAATACAAAGGAGATAAAAACTAATGCCTTCGTCACGTTATTCTTCACTTTGTGGATTACTTTGAAAGAGGCATTTTTATGAGATGGATAGGCCAGTGTTGTATTCTGGCAGTTCTTATAGAGCCACAGCTACTTTCCTGTAGCTATATGGGATAGTGTTCTTGAACTCTCTTAGACAGGAGACTCGTCTAACTACCAATGTACCTGACTCCATAGTTACTGCTGGACTAATATATGCACATAGAAGTGGTTGAATGCTCAGATTTTTATCCAATAGCTGCCCATGAACAACGTCATCATTAGTCTGCCACACTAAAGCTGCCCCAGAAGAATTCAAAGAGAAATCGGCTCACATGAGATAAATAGTTTATTCACTCATGCGACAGATCAATTACACAGAGTGGTTTTACCTTTCTGGTAACGATTTCTGAAAACTATGCAATAGTCACCTCCTAATGAAGCAGGCTATGATACGTTACAACATTATCCTTAAAAATCGTCTAAAGAAATCCTTAATCGTTCGTTTCGCAGATCCTTTCATGCCTTTAGTTCCTAGTCTACTGAAAGACCACAGAAAGAGTTCGCGTATGCTAATGGATTGTTCATAACTTGTGTCGATTATCATCTTTGCTAACTGAGAACTCCAGTACCACATGTACGTGTCAATATTAGGTGCTCTTAACAAAACTTTTAATATCCTCTACCAAGTTGTTCAAAAATTTGGTTTTAGTAAGAAGTTTTATAAATTCGGGAGATATTTCTTTATGACATACCGTCTATCCACTTAAATTCAAACAGCTTATTAGAGCAATGAAAGCTTAACAACAACATGCAAACAATTCAATCACACTGGAGACTACATATACCAATAATCCATTTACAATGTCAATGTGTGTCCAATTTTCAATATTTTTATCTGAAATTCGTTGATATCCATGTGTAAGCGAAACTAGAATAAGTCATATGTCTTATCATAAGTTTGTGCTATGGCACTTTGATGCCTTGAT